ATTTACAAGTTTTTATTCATAAGCACAAAAATATTAAGGACTATAGAAAAAGTCAAAACACCTCTTCCATGATAACGAAAGAAAACAATGCCCAAGTTTGCCAGATTGATAAAATCATACGAGTCACAGGATCCTGAAATTGCAAGCATGTCTGGGAAGCTGAAGTCTATGTTTCTGCCTCCAATGACTCTACCTCCCCATGGAGCTGGGACAGGAGGCGCAGTTGCCACATCATGAAGCAGGCTGCCTGTAGTGGGATCTGTATTATTTTTATGCTTCCACATCAGTCTTAACTTGGCTGAAACTTGGGCATTGTTTTCTTTCGTTATCATGGAAGAGGTGTTTTGACTTTTTCTATAGTCCTTAATATTTTTGTGCTTATGAATAAAAACTTGTAAATATGTCCCATCATATTTCTGACTGAGAGTTTCTGTGCCAGTTTTTTTCCAAATTCTGCTTACTAAAATATATTTTAATGAATTTCAGATCTTAGTCTATTCACTCATATTTCATAGTAGCATTTTATTTAAATATTTTATCATTCTAGTTAGAAAGTTAATTGCCATGCTGGGTGGGTCAAATTTTTTAAAAACATCTCCCGTAAAAAAACACAGGCTAACAATTTCTCTTTACAAATTTACTGATAAGTGTATTTGTTTCCAGTCTGCTATAAATATCTGAAGCAGAACTGTATATTAATCTCATGCCAACGTCTCACAGTAATCATCAGAAGAAGTAATGTTTTGTAATCACCTTGAGCTCCAGGAGAAAAGAACAAAGGTGTGGTGAAGGTGCTAGCCTAGAAACTAGCAGATTCTGTGTTCTAGTCCGGCTTTAGGCATGAAATCTGGCTTGGGTGTCTTGGGGCTAGTCACTCTCTCAGCCCAACTCTCTTGAGGGTTGTTCTTGAGGGGAAAATAGGAGGAGGAAGAAGTATTATATGTTTGCTATCTTAACTTACTTATAAAGTAATAAAGGTAGGATTAAAAATAATAATACACCCAATCAATACCTTGGACAATAATTAGAAAGTCTGAAAGGGGGAGGGAGGGAGGAGGAAAGAGTAACTGGATTTGTTTCAGATGGATCTCTTCATAGAGTCAAAGCAGTTGTTCTGGAGAAAGAATTTTGAAATTATCTCTTTTTTATATTTTATATTTTGTTTTTAATAATAAATAAGCTGCTTTGCTGGGGTTGTACCCTGGACAAAGAGATTCTAATTGTAATAAATAATAAGGCACCAGGCCTTGAAACTGGGTGACCATGGGTGGTAGTCTCACCTAAACCACGAAAGCAGGTGGGCCATTCATTCATTCTTATCCCTGGGAAGAAGGCAACAGCAAACTACTTCTGAAATCTTGTCAAGAAAATTAAAGGGACTAGTACACTCATTTGCCAGGAGGAAACATCAAATCCAGAGGACCAAAAAAAGTATCTTTGGTGATGTATATCACTATTTCTTTATACAGCTGCATCAGTTACTGCTGAAGCAAATGCTTGGAAGTAGCCATGAATCTTAAGGAGACCATAGGATTGGAGACTCATTTTCAATGCCAAGATGATACCAATGTTGCTGGATGAGTAGACAATAGGGCAGTAAGGGATGCTTGTTATTGCATCATTAAACATTCACATGTAAAAATGCAGGTGAAGAAGGGGCTCTTGTAGCTAGGTAGCCAGGTAAGGTGCATTCATACTGAGAAAAAGACAATGGAGAGGATTACATTTACCACAGCCACTGACCTAATCAGATAAGAAACACCCCAACAACTCCAGAGAGTGAGCAAAAAAAAAGCCCATGACTACTGTAATGGATATGCTTAGTTGTCCTATACCTGTGATGGCGAACCTATGGCATGTGCGCCACAGGTGGCATGTGGAGCCCTCTGCAGGCATGCGAGCCATCGTTCAGCTCAGTTCTACCATGCATGTGTGCACACCTATCGCTGGCCAGCTGATTTTAGTGTCTCTGCTGCGCATACAGGAGACTAGCGTGGGGTTGCAAGGGGTGGGGGGTGCCTGCAGCCCGTTTTTGGTCCCAGGAAGCTTCAGGGAGGCCTGCTAGGGGACGGGGGTCGTATGCAGGGTTACGGTTAGGGCAGGGGGAGCACCGGGGGGGGTCGTATGCGCAGGTGGCGAGGCACATTGTATTGTGGATGTGGGCATGCATGCACTGTCATGCACACACCCTACTGACAATTTTAAAAGCAGTGTTCTCAGCCTTGGCAACTTTTAAGATGCTTAGACTTCTCTCCCAGAATTCCTCAGCCAGCGTCCTGAGAGGAATGTTGCTTTAGAGCAGTTTTTCTCAACCGTGGTGACTTTAAGTCCTGTGGACTTCAACTCCCAGAATCCCCACAGCTGGCTGGGGGATTCTGGGAGTTGAAGTCCACAGAACTTAAAGTCGCCAAGGTTGAGAAACACTGCTTTAGAGAGAGAATAGTCACTGCTCATATTCATGGAGAGGGAGTGCCAGGATGTTGGCTGCAACTATGTAATTGAAGCCCCGCCTTTGGGGGGGGGCTGTCATGCATGTAGAGAAGATGCAGCTTTAGTGCAGTGTCACAACTAGACTTTTTGGGGCCCTATGTAGATAGATACCGCTGAATGCTGAGATCCCTTCTGAAGCGGTCTAACCTGATAATCATTGCTATATGATTGATATTGTTTAGACACAATTTGTTCAGTAAGTCACAATTGGGTGAGTTTATAAAACAAATTTTAGTCATAAAACGTGAAAGTTGGAATGAAAAGCACAGTTTATGTTTTCTCATGATGTCTAAATTCATAGTGAACTCTATAATATAAACATGCTCATTGAACAAAAAATTCATTTACTTAGGAAATTGAGAATTCTGTTATGCTTCAAAAGGTCATCTATAGTGCCTTTGGAACTCTCTTTTGTTTTAATTAAATAGTTGAATGTCCTGAAGTAGGCCAAATTTGTGAATCCACAAAATTTCATGAGATTGGGGGGCATTAAGTTTGGGATATCCACTCATCATAAGAAATTGCAATGTGTTGTCTGTCACCTAAAAAACATCTGAGCAATGTTACAAATAATCCCTAATTATTAATCCCAAATTCCAATTACTGTATATACCGACCAATAAGCTGAGAAATTTTGGTTCAAACATGCACTCCCAAATTGGGTTTGGCTTATCCGTGGATGGGTTTATCCCTGAATATCTACAGTGTATCATTTTTGTCTGCACTAGGCGGCTCACATTGCTAGAGGGCTCTATTGAGCTTTTCCCAACATCTCTCTAAATCGAAAATTAGAAAACAGACATTTCTGACTGCGTTTAGGGTAGCATGATGTGCTCGGTCCTGTGAAATGCTGAGGAATAACAGTAAACATTCAGTTCAAAGTATTTTAAAAGGCATTCTGTATGCTTTTTGTAGAACAACAAGGATTGTTTCTCTAACCTTAGAGTACCGAAGAAGATGGATTCATAACTGCTCAGAAGAGTGCGCAAAATTATAATTAAGTAGAAAACAAACAGAATGCCATCCTGCCTATAGTTTAAGAAGGCAATGCAGCCTTAGACACGTTCTTGTATGCCAAGAGACAAAAGATAGTTTAATGGAAAGAAACTTACTTCCTATTGTAAGTAAGTTAGTGAGCAAAGTTAGTAGATGAGTTTATAAAATACATGAGTATATCTATGATGAAGTGAAAACAGTGAAAGTCTTCTGAGATGTGTCAAAGCTGCTGCTTTGAGGAGGGCAAGCCACATAGTTCTTCGGGCAACTGGCTCAGGGATTATCGGTTTTTTTCCCCGGCTTCCCAGATCTACCCAGGGAGGGCCTCCCTGTAGATCAGTGAGGCGGAGACAGCAAACAGCCCCTCCCTTGGTTACCTGCTGCTTGTCTCAGGTTCAGCCTCTTCCTCTCCCTGTAACCTCCTGGGTGTTTATTAACTCCAGCTCAGGAAGACATTCAGCAGGGGAAAGAATGAAGTCTTTTGTATTGGGGGCAGCTTTTTGAATTCAGCTTCCTCCCCCCCATACCTTTTCACTAAGGCAGAGGCTTCTCTCTCCGCCAGGTAACTTTCAGGTCTCAGCCTCTTCTGCTTCAGTGTAATAAGAACGTAGCAGTGAAGGTTTGTTCAATATGGGCTTCTGATTTTATCATGTCTGTAATTAGCAAGAACTAAGGATGTACACAGTTCTTTCTCCAACTGGTGTTGACATATACGTGGGCAAATGTAGGTATTCATTTTCCCCTTAATAGCTAGTGGCATTGCAACAGAGTAGGCCAGCTATTGTAGTTAATACTAGTATAAATGATATGGACTGCCTTCCTGGAGGTAAGTCCACTGAATGCATGAAGGCTTAACTTTGCATCAGCATAAGTACAGAACGATGGGGCTGGCAATGTGATCAGAACAATTTCAGGATATAAAGCTGATTTTTACCAGAAGTTTCGCTCATTATTTAAGAGGACTGCATTGTAAAAAGAACTATTAGGAAATAGTAATATTTAAAAAGTCAATTAAAACAATGGTAATAAAGGTGAAGATTAAGTGTAAATAAAATGTGCTTATTGTATCCTGATGTTTTAGAAAAATTGGGGAAATTTTGTGATGTATTTAAATGTAGAAACCATCATAACAATGCTGTTTACTAGTAGAGTCAAGATATCAAAGGCTAAGATGTGTGTAACTTAATCTTATAGCACTCTCAGTACCATTTTCATTTGTAAGGCAGCCAAATCAATTGATTGTAATATTGCTAACTTTTAAAAGCACCAAGATAAATAATAAATAGAGCTACAGGGTGATTTGCCTATTTGTCTATGGATCCTTGCATCTTCTGTCTGTTCTCTCTGTTTTCCTTCCTTCCAGAAAATCCATTGCTACCTTATCGTAGCAGGCTTCCTTAGGCAAGACTCCATCATGTAGGTATGCTTACCCAGCAGTCACTGCTCGTTTTGGCCCTAGGCAAGCTGAAGAGCAGACTTCTCCCCAGGAGAGAGAATGTGTGAAGAGATGCAGAAATTTGGAAGAACTGCATCTTGAAGGTCAGATGGGCTTAGTCAGAGTTGCTTTCAGATAGCTTTCCCTACTTGATATCTGAAAATGCAGAGCAGCATCTCTTAGTGCCTGCCAAGAGAACCTCCTTTACATCAAAACATTAGTTTATCTAAAGACACTGTTGAGCAAAGCACCAATCTCTGGCAATGTTTTTAGTTCCTAAAATTCTCTGGAAGCTAAAGACCCTCATAAGCTTCCTACAAAACCAGTTGGCTCTCTGCTTTTGCCAGGTAAATGTTCACTTGCTGATAGTGAGCTGAGGATCTTCAGAGGTTGTAATGTGGTAGAGAGCATTGTGGTAATTGGTTTATAGCAGTCATCTTCTCTGAGTGAGAAAACTCACAACTTTTTGCCAGTGTGCTTAGAAGTCTCAGGCCCCAAATACTGGAAAATCCTGTCTTTAGTTCAATGACCTAAGGTAGAAAAGCTAAGAAAGACCTTGTATTACGTTGGAGCTTTCCACTGCAGCCAGAGCCAGCTGGAATAATAATCATATGCAGTACCATGCAGCCTCATAAGTCATTTCCACTCTTGTTTTATCTTTACCATCAAATGTTAAATTTCAGGTGGGGGAAGCTAAATGTAAGAGTAGCAAATGAACTAAACTCTTTTTCCCCCACGTTCCCCTCTCTCCAAATTTCCCCATCAAGTGCCACTCTGCAAAAGAGCAACGCAGGGCAAAGGCAGAGAACATACAGCTCCTCCCTAGGTTTCCTGCAATGATTTGACCTGGGCTGATCCAAATATTTTGTTTTAGTAAAAAAAAAAAAGTGCTGATCCACAAGCACTTGTTGCTCTATTTTAGAACTGTGCTAGCATCCATGGCTGAGAGCATTGCATTCTCCACTTTCCCCAGAACAGTGCAAGAAATCCTGGGAATGCCACTGGGAGATAGGGAGGAGGGGAGGGATTGGATAATCAATACACACACACACACACACACACACACACACACACACACACATTTTGATATCTACAGCCATCAATGGAATCTTTAAAGAAAACATCTCTAGGTCAATTTGGAAAACAAATGACTGGGTTAAGAATTTAAGCTCCCTTCACCTGTATGTGATCATCATGATCAGGACCAGACTCATACAAGCTGCCATTGGCATAAACACAAATCAGAAGAGCAGCTGCACACTATGGAGTTATTATATCTTGCAGTTAGCCATCAGAATATGCCCTGCTTTATTATCACTGCCAAAAATATCTGTTAATGGAGTTAAATATTATCTCTGTTAGGATCAAAGTTTAAAGTACATTCCCCAGGCTTTGATGTTCAACAAAAATATTTTTAAGTCTTCGGATGAAAACAATAATAGTAAAAAAAAGATTAACCGTTTTAATGTTATCTTATCCTAGCAACATTATTCCCTCCTTAAAAACAACAACTGTCTATATGGAAGAGTTTTTGTAACCAGAAAGCAGGCAAATTATGTGAAAGTGGTTGACATAACCAAAACATATGAATGCACACCTTAAAATGAAATTTAAATATTTGCAAATCCTGTACTTGATACTTACTTATGCTGTGGACAGTTTTTTTTAATAAGAGCATGCTTTCCCCTCTTTTTCTATGTAGAATTTCTAAGCTGTAGAATTTTATTCTACAGCTTCAGCTGTAGAATAGCTACAGCTTCAAGTAGATATCATTAGTTGTGCAAACAAGATCTTGCCTAAAGATATATTAAAATTGCTGGATATTTGGCTCAAAGTCTTATTCTAGGCAGCTCTCTTCTAGGCAGGGAGGTTCAAAAAACAATTTTATTTTTCCCCTTATAATTTTGTTCACTTTTACAGAAAAAAAACATGTCTTCTTTGTGAAGAAATAAGTAATTAAAACTTTCTCCTGTCATGAAACAAGGCCTGTTCAAGGAGCTGTGAGCATTCAAGTACCCAAATGGAAAGAAGGAGATGATCCAACAAAAGGACATTTTGCATTAACATCAAGGGAAAAACATGTTTGGTGGACTTAAATTGGACCACATCTAGTAGACGGTTTCTTGACTGTGGGAAAAGGTATTACTGTTGCATGATATACGTAGCTATAGGCTGTGTCTTTGTGGTGAGCCTCTCTATGAATTCCATCTCATTCCATTGAATGAGGAAAAATAATGCAGTCTGGTAAAGGGATCTCCTATGGAAGCAAGACGTACACAATAATGTTAAGAAAATAGAACCTGAAATGTTTAAAGCTTTCTTTCTCTGTTGCAGGCCTGAATTCCCCAAAGTCTTTTATATTTATTGATTACATACACTTTGGATATAATTGTCTTTAATTATGTTGCATTTAGTACTGGTGTTGATTCTCCTGTAGTGATACTTAAATGGACTGTTTCACACTCATTTATTGTGAATTTTTTCTCCTCCCCCCCTCCCCAAAGGAAGAAAGACAGAAATAGTTCTGAGCAGGGAAGATAGGACAGGAGGAGAAAAAGGACCCAAAAGCAGAAGCAGAAGTGCACACATTGCAACTTGCAGTGAAGAACAACGATGTTAAATATGCTTCCTGTTCCTGTATTAGTGCTCAGCAACTTGGAACTGCCTGTTTGCCTCAGTTCTTTCTACCCATACCTACCAACACGGACTGATCGTGGAGCAGTCTATGAATGTGTGATGGGCAGCAGAAACACATGAGGTAGATGGGTAGAGTCAAAAAAGGAGAATTCACATCTGGAGAGTCCGGTTGAGACATCGAACGCTCATTTGCTTTTATTTTCATCTTAAAAGAAACTTCTTCAGATAATTTTTCAATTGTTTTCTTAATTGGATTTTTGATTCTGCCACTGATCACCTGGGAAATAATGAGGTAAGGAAAAATTTAGGATTGACTATTACAGATTAATATTTTCTTTCTAAGAGGTCTTGAAACGTTTCCTTGAACTGGGAGGAACAATGTTCTGTGGGAGCAAGTGTGTGATACCGGTATAGGAGACAGTTGTTGGAACAGATCGTTGTGTTGCCTCTGGCTGTATGGATTTGGGAGTAGAGGCTACGTCTTCAGGCATCACTGCGTAACTAGCAGCTGCTGCTAAGTCTTCAGGATCTAGCAGAAATGTAGCCAGTAGAGTTTCTTCTGCTACCTGTTATTAGTGGAGGAGCAGCTTCACTAGCTACATGTGTGTTTCCCTTCTGCTTAATTGGAAAGTTGATGACCCTGTCTCTCTCCATAGAGATGATTTGATTACTTGCCATTATATTTTGTGGCTGCTTTTATTGTATTCATGTCCTTTAAATTGTTGAAATTGTTTTAGAATTGTCAGCTGTCCAGAGTCACTTGGTTGAGTTGGGCAGCTATAGAAATTGAATGAATAAATAAATAAGTGAATAAACAAACAAACAAACAAACAATGCTTAATGGCCAAATACTGAATGTGCAAACTGACTGCAACTGAAGGTGCTGTGTTCCAGATGAACTGAAGGGTCAGTCTGGTTGATCTGCACTGGTGGATTCTCATTGATTTGTTGTTAATTCTAAATTATGAACATTCTAGTGGGAGTCAGTGCTGTTGGGGCAGCGGAGAGAGTGAAGGAAAACGAATGTCTCCTTTCTGAATTGTTGTAGAGAGTGGAGGCATCTGCCTTGTGAGCTCTAAGTAGGATCACACATATCCCTCCACTGATGATGTCCTTCTTTTTTTACTTTTCTCTCTTCCTTTCGCCAAGCAGGTGGTTTCATCGTGACCTGAGTGGCATAGATGCTGAGGCCTTACTCAAAGCACGAGGAATTCATGGCAGCTTTCTGGCTCGGCCCAGCCGGAAGAACAAGGGGGACTTTTCCCTTTCGGTCAGGTAATTGCCCCCCTCCCTCTTCCAATTCTTTGATAATATTCTATGGTTCTTTTTGAGAGACACATTACCTTCCACCTCTTTAATCTTTATTCTCTAAAGGGATACCATGTCGGTATATACTGAAAAAGTTTCCCCTCTGTAATAAATGGAGGCCATATCATAATAGGATGGTTTCCATGGTTAATTGTTAAAACATATATCACTCCTAAAGTCTATGGGAGAGGGCTGCTATGATACATTTAAATGAATAATAATAAATAATATCTAGAAAATCCCAAGACACATTGGAATTGAAAGCCAGAGGGGTAAAAGAAAAGGGGGAATAGAAAGAGCGTAAGTGAAGATGGCTGTTGTGAAACTTATAACTTTCCACAAACTTGAAGATGAATTCTTTCTCTGGGGTTTTTCCCAAAGCCTTTTGTCTTGGGGAGAGGGGGGGTTGGGAGAGAGACTGGGTGGTAAGTTCAGAGACTGATTCTCCCTACAACTTTCTCTGAAATAAATCTGCTGATGGCATAACACTGACTTTTCTGGGAACAGACGTTCAAACAAAATAAGCAGCTCCCTGGGCTAGTGGCCCAGTGCTCTTTTTAAAAAATGTCCAGGGTTTGGGGAAGTCATCAGACACTGGAACAGAAAGACCAGGTTCAAGCCTTCCCATAGGGACTTCCTTCCACAGCTTCTGATTCCCATGTTCATTTTCAACTGGCCTCCATTTAAGTAAAACAACTTTATTTCTTCCTTTCTTTCAAATTGGAATTTCCACTAACTTTCATATTAATGTTATACAATAAATCATCCTCTGAATAATAAGTCCTGCTTAAACATTTTGAAGTAAGTAACAATACCAGTGCCACTTCTAATGCCATTATATCTGCCTGTCTTAACATAGAAAGCATGAAAAATCAGGTGAAATGACAGTTGGAAAAATGCCACAGGTAGCCAAATGTACTATCTTTTAAGCTGGCTTTCTGCAAAATTCAGTCTTATTTATTTATTTGAGAGACAAATATGGCCACCCTTCTTATGTGTCACAATTCCGGCGGCTTACAAAAACAGAAGTAAAAACCAAAGAAAGTCAATACCCTCCTTCCCCAAATAAAAACAACCTCAAATCCCAGCATCCTAAAACTCCGTGGTACAAATACAATCACTGGCTCCAGCTTCATTTTAATCCTAATTCTCCAGTTTGCATAAAAGTCTTCTATTCAATTCATATGTTGTGGGGTGGGTGATAAGCTCTGGTGAGAGCAAACGCCAAATAGTCCATCCAATTCATCAAGTTCTCTTATTTCGGTCTAGAATTCCTACCAGGAGAAACAGTAAAGATAATTTTTCCTTTGCTCTTCCCTTCCTGATCAACTGATGAGAAGCTTCTGCCTCTCTCTTTTAGGGTTGGTGATGAGGTAACTCACATCCGTATCCAGAATACTGGAGATTATTATGATCTCTATGGAGGAGAGAAATTTGCTACTCTATCAGAATTGGTGGAATATTATACACAGCAGCAGGGATCCCTGCAGGATAAAGATGGAACCATCATACACTTGAGGTATCCACTCAACTGCTCTGATCCCACAACAGAAAGGTATGAGGAAAGCACACCTGATTGTACCTATAGCTGCATATTCGTCTTGACTTTCCTTTCCACACTGAGCCTCAATTGAGGGGTGCTCACATTTTATATTTATGTCTTTTATCATTTGTACATATGTATCTCTGCTGTGGATCTATAAACTGTAGATTTAAGTGTACATTACATGTAATTATTTAGTGACTATTTATTTGCCTGCAATGTCTGAATAGTCATCTAGGAGGGATGGTGTAGTGAATGCTGCAGTGTGTGGGGACTGGACTTGATGATCTCTTAGGTTCCTTCCATGATTCCTTAGATCCTATAAGGTTTTCTGGGTGATAGTCTAAATGCTTTTGACTCTACAAAGACATTCATTTATCTGGAGCATATGAAAGAACGTTATGTGTTACTCCAAAATTTGTATTTCGAGCAAGCCCTTACTGGTCTAAAATACTTTTATTCTCTATATTTTTACTTAAAAAGAACACAAAGCAAGTAAGAATATAATGAAAAAGTGTTAAAAATTCCACCAACATTTAAGATCACTATCTTAAGTGATCCACTATCTACATCTCAGCTTGAATGTAGATTTCCTCTTCTTAGAGATGTCTTTCTCAGACAAGATGTTAAATAAAGCCAAACATAGTATCTGTGTGTGCACACACATATACGCATGCCCTATTCTAGTTGTGCAGTTGCCTTTTGAAAAGTAATGGACTCCAGGAAGAGGTAGCAGATGTTTACAAGGCCATATCAAGTTGTACCTAGTACTGTCTTGGGACTCCTGAGAAGAAAGAGCAATCATTAATTGCATAGCTGGAAATATAGGGATTTCAGTTTTTGGTTTGAAAGATTTTAAGCCTATGCATATGGTGAATCTTGTATGAATGGGTCATTTAAATATTGCTCATGAAATAATTGACGCTTCTCTATGCAGAAATAAGCCCTGGTGCATATTCAGTAGGGAATACATAGCACTGAACTGTCTGGAAAAGTTACTACGTCTGCATAAGCCATTATGCATATAAATATTGCAGAGATTCTTTTTTAAAAAAAATTAAATGTACCTGCAAAAAACAGCTTCAGGAAGAAGTGAAATTCTAAATGAAAATAGAAAATATAAAAATAATAAAGAAGAAATGCTAATGAGAATTTTAAAGATACTGGAAATGGTATTAAAATACTATTACTATTTAAATACTATTAAAAGGAAAGAAAAATGAAGAAATGAGTATGAACTAATAGGGCAATTGTAAGGAAATTCTCAAAATGAAAAAAAGAAAGGAGACAGAGAGTCCCAAAAAGTAATTAGCCCCATGTGGGCAATTAGGGCCTCTTATTCCTGGCTTTTGTTGCCATACAGTTATGGGATGCTGAGCCAAAGAGTTGGCTAACGTTTTCTCTGATATTGTCATCTTCAGCTGCAGCTATTTTTCTTCATTTTCCATAGTCTCCCTCATTATTAATGATTCTGGATATCTTGTAGAATCTTCTGAAATCTGAAAAGGTCTATGTCCCAATTATCTAGCAACAGATTATACTTCATATACTTAAATAATATGAATGCATATTCATCAGGGCATACCAATGTGTAGTCATTCCGGTCACACCTACAAAGGAACTGTGCCATTGCTGAAGTAGAGAACCTCTTCAGGCCCTCTTACAAATGGGATGGTTTTATTCATGTAGGGAAGAGTCCTGGTCCAGTATGCTTTCCCTGGTCCTCCTTGTGGACTTCTGTGTGGCAGGACTTTCTCTCAGGGCCTGCTTTTTGTCTGTGTCAGGAGGACTCAGGAAAATCAAGATATTCACTCAAGTGGAAAGATCTCCACAGATCCTGAGTATTTCTGAATGGAGGTACAGTGTAGTTCCTTTTCATAACACTTGGGGGGAAAAGCTAACCATTGTTTAGAAGTATATAAATAAATGTGCCCTATATAATGTATGCTTACATGTCCTTTGTTCTTTTAGTAAAGGATCTAATGAATGATTAACTTTCCTCTCAGCATTGTTCCCCTTTTACTTTTCAAGCTTTCTTAAACTGAGAGATTCCCTAAGACAGTAGGTTATAGAGCACATACTACATTTTGTCATGTGATGGAGTTTCAATATTGGTGTGACTTATATTTAGAAACCAGGCGTCTTTTGTTTCACTGATTTGTTATTTTTGGCACCTTGTTACGATGTAAAGATTGTGGTGTCGATAAGAAGCAGGTATCAAGCAAATCATCTGTCCTTGTTCAAACCTTTTATTTTCACAGGTTTATTTCATGTTCCTTCTTTCGTTGCATGCTTGTAAGCCTTACGATGGCATAAACCTTTATGGAAATGTGTTGGTCATGATGATGGCCTTTGTGACTCTTTATTTTCTTACTGCCACCCATCTGGAAATTGTATTAAAATGGGCGGCTTTTGTTCATGTTGGTCAGGGACAGTTCCAGTCCTGTGGATTCTATGTTCTACTGTGGTATGTTAAGCCATTCATGAGACAGAGCTGGGTTTGTCCTGTTCCCTTGAAAAGAATCAGTCTATTTATCCTCTCTAGGTCTCTGCGTGCAGGCCCACTCACATCCAAAGGCAGCAGTTGGCCAGAGAGCCTGCTGCTTCCTCCCTTGCGGTTGGAAAGTTCTGTCCTCCAGGCTCTTACGAAAACTCAGCCTCCCTCCCCACCAACCACCCAAGATTTTCCATCACGTGGCTTCCCCTCCTCTTGGTCCACTGAGCTTAACTGTTTCCTCTCTGAGAGGGAAAGAGGCTCACTTAGCAAATGATAGCTTTGTTCATTTCCTACCCAGCAGTTCTATATTTTGGAACATCTTTTGGAACGGAGGTAGTTGTCAAAATATAGCTTCCATCTTCCTTCATCATTGCTGGTTGAGGTTGCTGGGACATGTAGTTTAGCCTCTTCTGCAGGAGCACAGATTCCCTCCTATTTTAAAGAAAAGATTATAAAACAAAAGCAGTGTGATCTTTAAAATTCAATAATCAGTAATAAAAACTTTAGTGATTGCATTTATTATATTATTCTATTCAACAAAGTTTATTTCATTTGACCCTAATCAGGCGTACATGAACTACAGACCAGTGAGTCCAATATGTAGCTTGATGAGTGCATTAAATGACCATTTATCAAACTCTGGTTAGGCTACCAGGATTATTAATAAATATATAAAGGTTTGATCTAATCTCTCAATCTTTTAACAATATGATTTTCATATAAGAGAGCCATTCGTTTGAGAGCCAGTTTGCTTTAGTGTGTTAAGGCATCACGCAGAAAGCAAGTTCTAGTCCTGCCTTAGCATGAGGCATGAAAACCAGCTGGGTGATGGGCCAGTCATTCTCTCTCAATCTACCCCATCTCACAAGGTTTTTATGGGGAAAATAGGAGGAGGAAGGTATGCTCGATATGTTCACCAACCTGAGTTATTTGTAAAATAATAAAGGCAGAATACAAACAAACAACAAACAAATACATAAATAGACAGGCTATGAGGAACTATTCTCTTAATACTATCCAGTGTTTATTCTTCTTTATATTAGGGCCGTGATGGTGAACCTATGGTATGTGTGCCACAGGTGACACGTGGAGTCATTTGCCGGGCATGTGAGATGTTGCCCTGTCAGCTGACTTCAGCCTTCTTTTGAGGCCATTTTTCCCCCTCCGGAGGCTTCCCTGAGCCCTCCAAAGCGCGAAAAACCGGCCCTACAGACAAACCGTAAGTCACTTACGGTTTGCTCATAGGGCCGTTTTTCGCCCTCCGGAGCCTTCGGGGAAGCCTCCTGAAGGCCCCTGAAGGCTCTGGAGCTTGAAAATCGGCCCTATGGACAAACTGGAAGTCACCATTTCTGAACTTCTGGGTTCCCCTTAGGTCCACACATGTATAGATCCTCATAAATGGGGGTAACGCATGCATAGTATTATAGGTGTGGCACACCGGTGCACCCCCCCCCCTGTGTTCCTCCCACATTTGGTACGGCAGCCAAAAAAGGTGTGCGATCACTGTATTAGAGTCTCTACACTCTCCTAACTGTAGAAGTGAAAAATCTAAACAATGTGATAATCTCTGACTTGCTCTACTGTTTCTTTTGAAAGTTAATTAAAATAATGGATGTAAACCAGTGGTGGGATTCAAATTTTTTTACTGCCAGTTCTGTGGGCGTGGCTTGGTGGGCGTGGCAGGGGAAGGTTACTGCAAAATCCCCATTTCCTCCCGATCAGCTGGGACTTGGGAGGCAGAGAATAGATGAGGGCAGGGGCAGTCAGAGGTGGTATTTACCGGTTCTCTGAACTACTCAAAATTTCCACTACCAGTTCTCCAGAACTGGTCAGAACCTGCTGAATGACACCTCTGGTCATCATGATAGTTATCAAACCACTGGAA